CAATATGAAAAGGGGGACTCACACATACACTCGTAAAAACGACTGCGCAGCATTGAGAAGGGGGCGTGGTTAGCCAAAGAAAGAGATGCAGCGATGTCACATACGTATAACCCTCTTTCCCTCGCACACTGCAGTTTCCAGTACCCACAAAATTCGTAGATACTTTACCCCATCCCCCCGAAATATCTTCTTTTTTTTTTTTTCGTTTTTTGGTTTTTCGAGCGGCAGTTTCGGGGTGGTTCCGCAGTTATGGTTCGCATAAGGGAGTCTATATTGGCCACTCATTAAAATTTATGATTTGTATACGGTTGTGAGCTTATTATGCATACATATTCTCGACTGTTTTTTTGCAGCTCTTTTTGCCCAGACAATTTAGCAGATTAGTTGCAGACAAACACACACACACGCGCGTTCTCAGGAAGGGGTTGGGAAATATCCGCCATTAGCCTAATCATAAGCGTAATCATGGCGAAAATCTTCCGGTCATAATCATCAGCGGAAATTCAGCAGACGGCGCTAAGTCCGGAATCCGGTATCCAGAATTCAGAATTCAGAATCCAGAATCTAGAATCCGGATTCCTACCTGGCCAACACCGGATGCCAATGCTAATCATCGATGCTTAGGCATTGATCGGCCAAAAGAGGGGAAACTTTTTAGGCATGTTTAGACTTTAATGCGCGCCGCGGGAATTCTTAATGAAATCTCGAGTTTTCGCCGGGTTTTCCCCCAGATGCTTAAGATTTAGAGACCTCGAGACTCGGACTACCTGACCTCTGCTGCTCAATGTGTCCGGTTTTTCCCCCCCTCGATCCCGTAATGATGATTATGATGATGATGATTCCACGCGTGTCCTGCGGTTTTTGTGGCTTATTTGCGGTTTACGCTTTTCATTTTTATGGCTTACAAGCCGCAACCCGCTGGGAAGTGGGTGTTTCTGGCAACCACTGCGGCTGGGTTTTGGATAGGCTGGTTCACGATGAGTTGGGAGCGTGTCCGAGGTGTGGATCTTTTGCCTAAGTAATGAGTTGCTTGCTGAGACTTCCTGGAAGGAACTTGAAAGGAAAGCTAATTAAGGAAGACTGTAAGTGCCAATGGGAGGACCAAGTTTAGTGTCATTATTAAGGTAAGCAAATACAATTTCCGACGGAGTTTAAGTAACATTTAATGTCAGCATTAGTTATATTAGTTATATATTCTGAAGCTTGTCATTGCTTAAATAAATAGCATTCATTAAATAGCAGTTTAAGCCTTTTAACTATTATTAACCGTATTAAACCTTTGATTTTATTTATAGCACTCTAATTATAATAATATTACTATATGTTTCAATCAAAAAATAATATTCTTAATTTTTAAAATGTCTCAATAAACGGTTTTTGTACTGTCGTTTTAGGCTTATCCTAATTTTTATGCAATCCTATATATTTTCATTTACCAGGTATGAAGATAATTCATAATATTGCATCCTTAATAAAATTATTTTTGCTGAAACAGGCATAGCTTAAAATTTTGAGGTATTAAATGGTATTTTAATTTTAATGTATTTATTAATTTAAAAGTAGTTATTTTATATTAAAATATATTAAATAATTATTACTTATAATTATTATTAGGTTTATTTTACATTGTCATCTACAAATGCTAGCAAATTATTTTCTTGGTTTGAACTTAATAATTTCACTTCTCAAATCAACGAATTAGAATTCATTCAATCAGAAAGTATTTTCATATATCAGTGTTCAGGGGTCAGTCAGTTAAGTGAAACATCTGCACCACTGACTCAATACAGCCACCGTTCTGGGCCAAGAAATCGCAGCCCACATTCTATACCTGATTTGGCAACAACTCTTTTCCGTTAAGCATTCAGCATTTCCCTGCGCAGGCAGCGCTTGAATTCATTCATAAATCACCTTGCCATCGTCTTTCCCATTCAAAGTTGTAACTGCCTCTCGTATCTGGTGCTCCGGCTGCTGGTCTAATGTTTATTTAATAAATATTCCATGCCATGTTATTGCAACAAGACTTTTGTTTATTTGTAAGGGAAATACGCGACATACTCGAGATGTTGGCGGTGTGCGGAGGGGGGAAGCGGATTGATTTTAGAGTGGAAACGGACAATTCGCAATGAAAAACTCTTTGAATGGCCCATGTTTATGGGGAAATCTATATTTTTGTTCGCTCCGCTCCGGTGTCCGGACAATTTGTTATGGCTCGTCTATGAAAACATTCAGGCAGCTGGAAATCCTTGCGAAAAACGTTTTTAATTTTCGCATAAATTTAAAGTAAATAAGAGTGCAGCAAACGGTTTTTAAAAAATTGTTTGTTTTAACGCAAAGAAAAATGTTTCGTCTCTCTGTGAGTTTCTGTGTGCGAAAATAAAAATGTTCAAATCATTTTATTTATTTATTTATTTATGCAGGCTGTGCATCTTCGATTTGGTTTTTCGTTCATCCTGCAGGCTCTGCTCAATCGCATACTCGTATATCCTGGCCGGGACTGGGAACTGGGAATCGGGCTGCTACTATTCGTGTGTTTACTTGACGCGCAAATCCTCTTACGACGGCTCGGCCTCAGAGCCCAGTGTCCTGCGTCCTTCGTCCTTCATCCTTTTTGTGATTTTTCGGTTCGTTTGCAGTTCGATTCGAGGCGGAACGAAACGGACAATTGCATGTTTTGATTGCCGCCTGCAATTGTCCTGTTCGCTCCGGTCCAGCCTCGTCCTGGCGATCCTTGCGGTCCTGTGCGCTGGTTTGCCGTTTGCTGGCTGCCGTGCACTTGTGACAATATTTTCATAATTTTTGCATCTTTTTTTTCCGCTCATCGCCAACGGTAGGTGCGTGTGTAAACATTAACTTTTCAAGACGATTTAATCCCGATTATCCTTTGACTGTGAAATTTTTCACTCAAAACTTCGCTTCGTTTCCAGCCTTGTGTTTGTCTTTGGCTTTTCGGCTGAGTCTGAGTTGCAATCCCTTTTCCATTCGCAATTCCCTTTTTTCCCTTGCCAGCTTTGTCCCTGCATATCCCTGGATTGTCCTGCGTCTCGTCCTGCGAGATAATGATCAGCGGCGACGACTTCTTGATGCGATTGCTGCTGCCTTTTCGCCTCGCAGGACAATAGCCAGTGGCTTCGTCCTGCCCAGCGACTTGGGTCCATTTGACTCTGGGCAGGATTTTAATTTGCTCATAAAGGTGAGACAATTAACAGAATAATTGGATTGTTGATCTTGCGGACAATGTGGTCGGGCTTGTGCCCGAAATTCGAGGCACTTTGGTCATCCGATAAGCTCATTAGTCCCTAAATGGGTGCTGGATTGTTAACCAGTTTGTGGCTCAATTAACTTGTCGTTATCTGCAGTTAATCGCAAAATTATGGAAAGTGAAAGAAGGGATTTTTATTAAAGAGATTGAAGATTATTTAATAAAAGCAAAAATTTTATTATTTGTATTGACAGTAAAACTATATATTTAAAATTGAAAACCACAAGGACCTTATTTAAATCTCCTGTTGTTAAACCAAAGTAGTCATGATATATAATTTGTTTATTGTGAACAATAGTTCAAAAAGAGCCATTTAGAAATGGTCAACTTTTATTACGAGTGGTTTTATAAATTCAAATACATTAGTTTCAGTACTTGGGGTTGGTTATTTACCATACCTTAACAAATTCATAAAGTTTGTACGCACAAAATTTTAAACATTTTGCGCGCTGTCGATTATCGATTTTTCTCTTGTCTATCGTTCTGGTGGAGCAGGCTTAACATAGACACTTAAATATGTTAAACATCAGTTAGAGTTAACATAGCTCTGTATGTTATGACTTAACAGTATATGAACAGATACCAGCTTTCAACCGCCTAGATGGCGCTATTTTAATTTTTCAAAACTCAGCTGCCCAAAAGTATGCAATTTTACACATATCCTATTTATTATTAAAATAAAATTTGAATTATTTTATCAACAGTCATGATTAAAACATTCTATATTGATTGTGAAGTAAAGTAAAAAGATAAGTTTCAAATTTGACTTTCAAAAATAATTATAATTAGTAATTCTAAATGCTTGTTCATTACAAAAATAAAATAGTTGTTTTAAATTCAAAATGTTCTGATTGAAATTTGAAATACATTAAAATACATTTTTTCTTTTAAAGAATGATTAAAAAAGTATTACAAAAAAAGTTAAGTACTATCAACCAGAAGCCTTAAATTTTAACTTTAAATCAATTAATACCTGGATAGTATTTTCTCGTAATGGCTAATGGCTAATTGCTATATGTCAAAATTTGGAGAATATTAAACAATATATAGCCTTGCGTTTATTAGAAATGCGTTACTTCCGATTTTGTGCAAAAAAAACCAAATACATAGCTATATTTAGCTTTTTTCCCGATAAACCAACAGACTTATCAAAGAGTCGCATATGACAAACTAATCCAATTGGACGTATTATAAGATTCTATAGAATGAGATGTTGTTCGACGCTTATTAGAAGCCACATAGAACCACTTTTTTAGACACATCCAGTTAATTAAATTTTTGCCAGTCTAAACTAAGCTAAACAGTAGGTAAATATTTAATTAAATCATTAGTATTGAAACTCATTATTTTCTAAAATCGTAGAAACTTAACTAATATAAGCGATTAACACATATTTTTATTCCTTTTTATGAAAATACTGATTAATATCAGAAAAAAGTTGTTTTGCTTGTTTTTTTTTAGTTGAGTTTTAAAATTGGATAACATTTCTTTTTGCCAAGTCTATCCTACATATTCAAGCACTTAATTAAAAACAAAACTATTAAAGGAAGTAATATAAAAATACGTAAGTGAAAGTACTTTCCACATTGCCGCTTGCCAGAATCACCCGTCTTCCAATTGGTGCTACATATTAATTTGTAATTATTATAAAAACTTAAACTCAGTGAAGGAAAAATAAGTCCCCATATTGCAACGTTAAAAGTACCAATACCAACCACTTAAAAAACACAAAAAAACGCAGCTGATTTAAAAATGTATATTAGTTTAGGTGAAATTTCTCTGCGATGCATGTCTTGTTTATAAATAGTTTGATTTTATTGCTATGCGTACAAAATATTTATTTACGTGTAGTTTCTCTTCTAAGCACTATTTAACTATCTTTTGTCTGCCACTACCTAGAGCCTAATTAAACGTGATTATTGTATCCTTTGAGGTAATAATGATGAATTCCGGCCCAGTTGGGATGGCTAATTGGAGTACTTGAGGGCCTCGTAATATCCACCGCCGCCATTCAGAGCCACCGAAGTGGGGGGCGGGGTGATGGGCGGCAGGTAAACCGGTTTGCGATCAATGGGCGAATGGTCGATCACATGGTTGCCACCGGACTGCGATGGCGGCGGGGTCATGGATGCGTGGTTCTGGTGGATTGACCCATGGCTCTGGTGGTGCTGATGGTGGTGGAGGTGGGCCTGGGCCTGCGCCTGGGCCTGTGCCTGCTGAATACTGGATAGTCCGGGGAGCTGCTGCAGCGAAATGGAGCGCAGACCTGCGGAAAAACATAGAAAGGAAAAACCGATTAAACTTGCAGTTCTCGTTTTATGGACAAGCGCTAAAATTCACACTGCGCCGCGACGTCGGCGGCAACTATAAAAAAAAGGAGTAGGGAGTCGATCGAGTGCGGCATAGATTACCATATGTTTTGCCCCCGCCCTCGGTAATCCGAGATGTGAACCGTCAGCAATTAAATTACCCTGATTGACGCGAACACCCAGGAATATTCCGATCCCCCTTTCAAAGAGCTGCCCTGCACCCTTCAAGTGGCTACACTGGTCAAAACTCCAGTGTACTTTTCAAACATCAACTCATCAAGTCAATTTGTCTGCTATCCACCCTATAAATTGTAATATTATAAACAAATCGAATGAGTTTAGAATTTTGATTTCAATCTACATAAATGATAGACATTTTGGAAGGATAATTAAAATAAATCTCGAAAGATTAAGGTCAAGTATTAAGTACCACTAACTACGTGAAATGTCTGCTTTTAAAAATATAACAGTAACCCTTTAATGCAGAGCTTACTATTAGATGATATTTACGTATTTTATGTATTTATTTAGGAATTAAAAAAAATAATTAATTTCTTGAACCCTGTTGGGCCTAAACCACAACCCATGAAAAAATAAACGAATTCTGTTCGGTCAACATTGTAATGGTTTTCTTTTTCTACCCAGCTAAGATAGTGTAAACAATGAATAATATTTAGTAAGCTGATCTGCCAGTATCTATTAAGTCATATCCATATTCAACGTCAACTTAAGACCAGCTAGATTCTTTCTCGCAGTGCCGTTCGACCCTCATCTTTTTCTGGGTCCGCTCACTTACCGTTGTCCAGGCTGCCGGCACTTGTTGCATAGGAATAGCCCGCGGCCACGAGACTCGCGGCTGGCGCATAATCGCTTTGAAGCGCCGCCGCGGATCCCAGCGGAGAACTGGAGGAGCCCGCCGCCGAAGGGGCCATTCCCAGGGCGGAGTGGGCCAGCGGGGGTGTGCAGGCGGACCCGTTGGGATTGCCGCCCGCCGCCAGGCAGGATATGTTCGAGTACTGGGGCAGGGGACCCACGCCCATGCCCACCGAGGAGGGGCCGCTGTGGGCGGCGTGGGCGTTCCAAGGATCCCCGAATCCTTGACCGCCAGCCGGTGAAACGCCATTGGCTCCGGCTGATGTGTAATCATAGCTGGCGAAGGCGGGCGAGGCGTAGAAGTTGGCATTGTCCTGGTGGGAGAAAAATAAAATCAATTAGCAATGAAATTTAAAAACGCAGGATTTTATAAGTTTTAGGAATTCCAACTGGACTATTTTTTGAAGGAAACTAATTCGAAATGCATCTACTGATTTAAAATATATTATTTTTCTTAAAGATCAGATTTTATTTAAATAATCCTGTGCTATACTATTTTACGTTTTAGGTGAAAAACAAAACACTTTAAAAAGTAAAAAACAAGTAAAGTAAAAAAATGATTTTTAGCGTTTTACTTTTTATAGTGTTTTGAATCATTTTTTGCACCTATAACATTTGCCAATTTTCTCTGTGTCAGCTTTTGATTGAATAAAACAAATGTAGTTGACCCATTAATAAATTAATTTTTTTTTGAAAATTTTCAAAGAATAATTTTGTTCTGTAAATCGTTTTTTCCACTTACCATTCCCGCATCGCCATAACTACCAGTGTAGTATCCATTGGCATGACCGGCATAGGGTTTGACCTTGATCTTGGACCGATAGCCCCTTGGTCGTCGCCTCAAGCTGCCCTCATCCTCGAAGAGATGCGCCGAGTTCTCGTCGATGGTCCAGTAGTTACCCTTTCCCGGCTTGCCCACGCCCATGCCTTTCGGCAGCTTCTTGAAGCATTCGTTCAGGCTAAGATTGTGGCGCACTGAGTTCTTCCAGCCCACATACGGACCTCGGAAGAATTCATAGCTGTATGGAGTAAAATATAGTCAAATTAGGCATTGATTGAATAATAAAAAAATTTATTTTATATACCTACAAATCAGTAATCAGTAATATCAGTTATAACATGCTTAAAACTGATGACAAAGTTTGTAAGCTAATTTCGTTATAATACAGTGTTTAATAAGTTTCCTAAAAACTTGAACTTAATTAGATTTATCAAGAATTTCGGATGGCATTATGAAACAACATATTTTCTCTTTTCTTTTTTTCAAAAGACAAGCGGTCAAAGACGAAAATTGATAATCGAGCGTTTATTTATTTTACTGCGCTTGCGAAACTCAATTAAAACTTTTTTTGGGACGATCGGAGTTTGGCTTCAAAAAAAAAACAAACGATGTCAGCTCAAAAGCCTCTCACGCATGTGAAATCCCCTCTTTCCCCCTCTTCCCCCAACTTTTTCCCTTTTAAGCTCAAGTGGATCTCCGTCTCGTCGCCGAAATCGAAATCCAAACAAGCGGCGCGAAATATGAGCTATCTGAAGGATGCGCGAGTCGCGTTGGCTAAATAGAATCGGATGCAAGTAAATAAACCCAAGTGGCACATTTTTGTTGTAGCTCGACATTGATCGCACGACTGGATCGGTATTATTATCCGCATTTGACCGCTGGCTATGCCGGAGTGTCGATGTCGCCAATCGGCTCCGTCTGAGATGCCGCCACCATTCTTCAAATCTATTTAATAGAGGGGCGTTTAATTCCACGGATCGGAGCATTCGTTGGGTGTTCGACTTTTTACTTAAGAAGTTCGGCTATTTTTTATGCTTTCAACATCTGTATTATACTCCCAGAACACTATATTTTAATTAATATTATATATATTCAATTAAAAAATAGCCAAACTAATTAATAACTATATCCAATTAAATTTCATTTCATTTGTGGATCTTTAAAAAAAGAAAAGTATGATTGATTGCAGTAAATAATCAGTGATTTCCCAATTTCGAACTAATATCCCAAATACTAATTAAAAACACCACATTCTAATAAGAATGGCCACACCAAAAAAAAAAACAAGAAAACTAATTTCCTCAAACGTTTTGGCCCTATTTTCTTGTCTTTATGGTAACCATTGGCAAGTTGAACTCCCATAGGGAATAAATAAATGTGGCCCTTTTTTTTCCAACTTAATACAGGTTAAGTTGACAATGTTTAATCTTCCCTATTTTTCTTTTTGTTGGACTCCAATGAACCTCCTAAGCATCTCCGATCCCATTTATCCCACCAACGGATTGTAATAATTACCTCTTCTGCAAATAAGCGTAGATCTCGGAAAGCGTTAGTTTTCCAGTTGGGGATTCCTTGATCGCATGTCCAATCATATTGATATAGCTGAGGGCTGGTTTCTCTGGCCGGCGGGTTCCCGACTTCTTGGTGGTGTCTGGGTTACTGGAACCACCACCTCCGCCTCCTCCTCCTTCTCCGCCTGCCGAACCCTTAATCCCCGGAGGATTCTGACTAGGAGGCGAAGAGTCGGATTCATTCAGCGACTTGGCAGGCGATGAACTCGAACTGGAGTAGTTTAGGACAGGCATCCCGTGGGCATTGTTGATGACGTGACTCGGTGAGGTGGAGATCCGCGGCAGGTAGGCACCACCAACTGGCGAGTGCTGGAGCTGCTGGGACTGCACCTGCTGTGGAGGCTGTTGCTCCACCTCGTGACTGGTCAGTAGTTGGTAGTCATTCGCACTGAGTATGGTGTTGTTCGAGCAGTACTTTATCGTGGAGGTGTACTGATGGTTCATCGGTTGCAACTGAACTTGCAACGGCTGCGACTTAGGTGTGGAGCTCACGTACTGCAGATCCTGCGGCAGATCCGTGGGCGTCTTCGAATTGGACTGCGGGGAGGCGGATCCCGCCGAATGGGCCTGGGCCGTCATCAGAACCCCGTATGGTGGTATCGGACTCGAGGAGGCCGGCGGAGTGCCCATGCTGTGCAGAGCACTCAGATTGTAATGCTGGGCGGCCGAAACGGGCGTGGCAGTGGGCGTTACTTCCATATAGTGCTTGAGTTCCATATACCCGATATTCGGCTTCTCGTCGACCATCTCCGTGGGTGATTCTCCGCCACCCATTGTCTGGTAATTGCCACCAGGTAGCAGATTCCCCGAGCGGTATAAATGCCCAGTATGGGGGTGACTGTGGGGGTGGGTGTGTGTGTGCGTGTGGGTGTGGGAATGGGCGTGGCTAAAGGGCGGGTGGGCACGGGGATCATGGTAGTAGCCCAGCTGATCCATTGTCATAACCGAGCGATCCGACACCTCCTCACTCTTGATCATTTTCACTTTAGTTTTTTTTTCTTTTAGAACACTAGATTATTAAATTCGTTGTTTTTTTATTTTCAATATCTTGGAAAGGCTGCCAAAATATATATTTGTAAAACACGCGCGTATTTTCCGGCGGAGTCCTAGTCTTTATTTAAACCGCTGGAAGACCGCACCGCTTGGCTATTCTCGCTCGACTGAAGGCAGATCGGTCCTGGAGCGAAGCTGAAGCCACGATCCCATCCGATCCCATCCGATGCGATCCACTTGAGTTGCCATCGGCCGGAATTCTTTTTTTAGTACGCCCACGCCTTACGCAAATCGCTCGACATTCTCTCTTTCTCTCCGATTTCCCATGTGTATATGTTCAGGCTGCTCTCCTTTTTTCTCGCCGCCAATTGGCTTGTTGCAGGGTTTTCCGCTCCGAGAAAATGCAAATGATATGGAATGCTCGCTGCTGCAGGTCTATGACTTGGGGACTGCGGTTATTGGAGTACGTGAAGGTTTACCTATAGGGGAGTTTGGTATGCCAGTTATCTCGGAATCTTAAATGGGAGTCGGGGGAAAATCGAGCCTTTATACGACTACAATTACTTGGGATAAGATATTCAAGATACAATCAAATACAATTAAGCATTTTCTTTCACTCATAAAAATACCTATAAAGACTATGCAAAAATAACATTTATAAGCTAAAATAATAAACAATAATTTAGTTTATTAGTGCTAAAATATATGTTCTGAAACCTTTAGTATTTGCTATGAAAATTTGCGGTTTAGGCTTTATTTTTCCGATTTAAATACATATCCTATTATTATCATAACGATATCGATCGATACCATATTTTAAGACAATATATAATAAATACAATTTTTTTTGGGTAGTTCACAGAGTAGATGAAAAAAAAAGGAAAAGGAAAACGAAAACGAAAAAAAATGAGACACATACATATGATTACCTAGTATTAAGTTTTACGAAGGTTTTCATTTTACATTTAAGGGTGAATAGTTAATACTTGGAGTAACTGTTTTTGAAATGATGTTCAACGTTTCATTATTTTTAGAAAAGTAGAATCTACTGGAAATAAAAACGTTTAACTCAACCTCTTAATTCGATGCGGTTATTAACAAAGTATTTGCAATCAGCATCTACGCAGATAAATATTGGCAGCTGAACCGATTATTTTGTAAACATGGCCTCTGTGTATAAATGCAATAATTGGTTCAAAGAGTTTTTAAATCTATCCTGCACTTGCACCCCCGTGAACCAAAGAATCGCAATCGGAACCCACTCATTACTGACTCATTATGGTTATTATATCCGACACGAATTCGAATTGAGTCAAACCATTGGCAACCTCTGTGCACCCATTTCCCCGCTGGGAGGCCTCTTTTCCCCGTGGCCAGTCAACAGTTAATAAATAGTCAAAGGCTAAAGCAGAAAGCAGAAAGAGATCCTCGAAGATCGAACCCCGCAATTAACGCGAATGAATTAACGTTTAGCGGTGCCAGCGGATTCGGTGGATTCGGTGGAACAGAGGAAGCTGCCGTTGCTGGAGGCGGCATTCGAATTTCAAAACGAGCTGTTAATTGATTTAGTCGTTGCCTGGCACGGATCCGGACCGAGATCGAGATCGGGAATGGGAATGGGACTGGAAATGGGGGAGCGGTACTGGAAGCCGGGGAGGGGGGCTACGGCCGGGGAACGCGCCGTGCAGCAGCACCCTGAGTGCCGCCATTGCTGTCAGCACTACACCGACTCGTTGGCAGCAAGGCGACCGTGACGGCGACGGAAACATGGGCGCCGAAAAGGGGTTTCAAAAACATAGGTTAACTTTTCGACAGACTTAAAATATAATGTGTTTTTAACCCTAAAAGTAAGCTAAATATAGCAAATAAGATCAGTATCTTTAAAATTATTTATAGATTAAAAAAAAAAGAATTTCATTAAAAATAGTATATGAATAATAGTTTCCCTCATAGTATGCATTTTATGGACAGTGCTAAGATTTAATTACAAAATGGGATTGTTTTTCACGCCATATTTTTTCTAAGCCCCTTAAAGTTTGATATAATTCTTTTAAAATACTATATTACATTCCAATTTAATATAATTCTCTTGAAATATTAAATGTAACTTATCTCAACATCCATACGTTTTGTTTTTAAATTCTTAAAAATAAAACATTACAATAAGCTAGACTGATTAGCAGTATGCATCCAAATATAGTTTTAAAGTAATAACCTATTAGGCAGAAAACAATAATAAAACATGCTATCCCTATAATACAACATCTTTTTAGCACCCCTTTTAGGGGAGTCCCACAACTACGCCCCTGAACCGAGCCGATGGCGACGCCGCTCTCTATTGCTCTCTCTTGCTCTACGGCAGCCGCTTTCTCGCTTTCTCCTTCGCTGTCGCCGGGGCAACGGTTTAATTCCCCAAAGACGAAACGAGATACACAGGGGCGCGCACAAAGATACAGATACATTTTGTGGTGCCGACGGTGGGAGGGACACACGGGGGCGGAGTTTTGTTTACATTTCACGAAATTCTATTTGTCGACGGCGTCGGGCATTGATTGAGAAAATCGAAGGAGAGAAAATTCCGTTCGCTACTTTTATTTTCTGGCTGTCTTGCGGACGCGGCCTGAAAGATATTTTAATTCCATCCGCCACTTTTTTCCGCCCGTATATCAAGCCACTCGCCATTTTCTGCGAATTTCACAGAACCCCCATTCGGGTTTTCCGAATTTCAGAATTCCTCCCTCTTTAGTAATTTTCATCGGGCATTCAGATATTTTTCACTTTTGGCCATTTTTCTTGCCGCTTCTGCGGTTTTCGAGGCCATAAATTAATTTTACTTTTGATTATTATTACTTCTTCTTATTCGTTTTTTCTTATTTTTTCGTTTTGCCTGCTGTTTTTGTTTTGTGCACATTCAGGAATTTTTCTGCGAGTGAGGAATAAATTAAGCAGGCCCCACCAATAGCTCACAGACCCTGAAATGGCGGCAAATTAATTAATTGCTCTGTTCGGCGATGGATTCCTAGAATCGGAAACATTTTGTACGACTTGGCCTGGTAGTAATTTTCAAAAAGGGGCAGAAATCATTAATGATTTATTGGTTGCCTATAAGGTTTATTAACTTAAAGTAAAGTGGGGTGAGGCCACAAGAAATGTAATCATTTGGTTTTATTAGCAAAATAATTTACTAGACTCGCTAGTAGTTTTTTGAGTTAAAACTTTTTATATAACTATTTCATTAAAAATCAATTGCTATATTATTTAAAAAATTATTTTCCTTTGCTACTTTTACAATAAGTCAGGGTGTAGCATATATTAAAGAAGTTGATTTTTTAAATTCAATAAAAAGAATAAGTTTTATTATTTAAAAATTTTCCAAATATCTTTGGTATCTTTTTTATAGTTTCAAGGATAAATACATTAAATAATATAATACCGCGTTTTCCCTCCACAATTTGATTTATGGAGGAGGGATTACATTTACTGCCCACTGAATATTTACTGCAAAATTGATCAAAGATTCCCAGACCATATTTTGACAGTTTCCGTTTCAGAAAAAATGTTTGCCAAGAATTTTCCAATATGGTTTCCCTCCACTGATTTTATTTTTGCATTTCCCGGTACGACATCTTGTCTTTATAGCCGATTATTTATAGCCAGTGTCCGACCGAAATGCACTGGCCACCCAACTAGCGATGCGTCATCTTAACTGGGTCAACAGTTCCGCGTGTGGATTCCAGACATCTTGGACTTGGACCCCATTAGGCCATAGACTTTCTGACTTGCTTATCCTATGAGTGAGCTCTTCTTGTGGTCATAATAGATCCATAAACACAGCCAAGGGAATTCCCAAACAATAGTCTTCATCATTCCATTTTCAAGTTCAGATAATCATAATAAAGATAAGTTGGCATAGACGGAAGGCGCGCTTCTTGTTTTGCTTTTAATTTTAATGTTAATGTTATTAAATGGCCGAAAATTGTTTACTATTATGGCTGTTTGTAAACAAAATTATGTATACGACGCGTTGAGCCGGCTGATCTTCGATTCTATCCCAGGCGATCCCATTGATGCCCGTTGGCTGCTCCTGGATGGGCAACGCATCTCAGGCATTGTTTAAACTGTAGTTTTAATAAACATTTAACAATTAAACGCTGTACTCTAAACACAACACAATCGCACCACCACCAACCACCCAACCACCACCACCAACAACTTTTGTATACAAGAAGAAGCCGCATTCGGATTTGTTTTTGCACACTGACCTACAACAACTGGTGAAAGCAAACAATTGCACCTAAACCGATCCTCGAACGCCCCGAACCACGCCCCTTTGGCTTATTAAACAGTCTTCCAATAAATAATCAAATAGAAGCAGAGAGCCGTAGGAAAAATCTGAACAAAATTTCAAAATATTTACATAGAGTTTTCGACCCGAAAATTATGCCGTCTAGTTAAACTTCACTGCCCCTCGCCCATCTTCAGTTGGCCAAGACTTTGTTTAAATATTTACATTCTGATGTGTGCAATTTGTTGCTTAGATCTCACTCTAAACGATTCCGATCTGATTCCATTCTGTAGCCCACAGATTTTGTTTATCACAGTCTTGATTAGGATCACGTGTTGTGGCCAAAAACCAAAATGAAATATACAAACACCGCATTATTTGCTCTTTTTTAACCAGCCACGATCTAAGTTGTTATTGTTCTTTCCCACGACTGTAATTATGTGTTTGTAAATATTTATGAATTTCCACGTTTTATTTCCCATTAAATGCGAGCAGTTCTGTTTAAGTGGATTCGATCTTGTTTGGGCTAATGCGGTTGACAAACCTGAGTGGGATAAACACTGAAATGATTGCCTAAAGTTCAAAAAGGTAAATTTACGGGGATGGGGGAATCATATTTGCAGGGATTTGTAAATAAGGAAACGACACAAGACATTAAACAGAAGTTTTGGTTAAATAATTTTGGATTAAAGGAAACGGAAGCATAAGTGGTTTAATAAGTTAATGAAAAACTAGATAAATGGAAGCAAATTTCAATCCCAATAAAATTAAATGGAGCAAGGCCAAGTGAGATTGGAAAATACAGAAACCAAAAGCATGTAAGACAAACTAATCTTAGTAAAATATTTTTAATAAAACGACGTCATAAATGAATACTACAAATTAATAAAATTTAACGGATTAAAAAAAGATATTTGTATATAATCAAGCCAAACGAGCTTATGATAAATTAATACAAAAGGTAACTCACTTATTGAACTTAGGCATTGCTATTTGAATTTAAGAAAATTTATTTTAATTTCAAAGAACTTCAGCAGAATAAAACCTAACTATATAAAACTATTTTTGCCCCAGTTTAAAATCCCAGGTTCAACTATAATAAGCAATAATAAATTTACTTAACCTTTAATCATATTAAGAAGAAATGAAGATTAAAAAAATATAGCAGATGAATGTATGCATTGCTAATTAATGAAAGAAAATGAAAATGTGCTCAATAAATTCAGCAGATTTAAACATAAATTAGTGTTTCCCCATTAAAAAAAATCCAAATTACCTTGTTCTTTTGACTTTAACTGTGCTGTACTTATTCGGTTAATTGCATTTTCGGCCCTCGCCTCCTGTTGTGACCGGCGATTGCCACACTTTGGCACTTCAGTTGGCCATAAACACCTTGGCCGCTGTGAAATGTACGGCTGTGTGTGTTCGCATCGAATCCAAGATGGGCGCCTTGCGCAAGATGGCCAAGAATCTGCCGTCGGCTTGTCGGTGCCATTGCCAAACTATGCAAACTATGGGCAGACGCAGTAAAAGTCCAGAGACGCCTCCGAATCCCCCACCATGCCCCTATTGCCGCTTTGCGCCATTCAACTGTCGAAGCTGGCGCAATAAAATCGAACAATTTATAGACTTGCGATCCATTTGGTGCGCAATAATTGCGCCAAATGTACAAAAATTAAGAAAAAAAGAAACGGGTCAGAAGAAACGCAGAGAGCGATTCTACAAATTACTTTGAAACAAAAAAAAAGACGAAAAAAAGAAACGCTGGCCACTTCGGATGCGATACCCGAAAAACCGATCGCATCCGATTCTCCACTTTGGCTGTTGTTGTTTAGCTTTTAGTTTAATGGCCGGTACTTAAAATGCGTTGACTCACTGCCAACCGAAGAACAGGAAACTGAAACTGAACATCTGATCATCTGATCGTGGGGATTTACTCGCTTTTCATCGCCCAATCGATTCCGCAACGTTGGCAGTAATTAATCTTCCCGTTTAAGCACCCTTGCCAAAATGGCTGATCACACATAACGACCTACGATCTACAATCTCCAGTGTTTCGGTATTTCGGTCTTTCTCCTGCAATCCGCAATCGACGATCTCGATCTTGTATCTTGTATCTCCGATCGCCTCCAGTGGATGGCATCTGTTTCGTTTCAATTGACGCTCATTGTCGTCATTGGTCCCCCCTCATCGCCAGTCATCTCCTCACCCCAATTCTCGTGTGTCGTTCGCTTTGTTCTTCCAGGGCTTTTGTAGACGCGTTTTTTACCGGTCTCGGTCTTTGGCCTTCGAGGGCAGCGCACCTGTGAGGCCTAAAAATATCCGGATCCGGGGAAAAACGCTTGCTCAACATTGAAATGTCATGGGTTGTGTTCCACAGCTTGACAGTCGAATGCTGGAACTATTAGCTTAATTGATTTCACGGGCCTCAAGGATTCATGGCCGAAGGTAAAAGTTTTCCTGGACGTATTAGTCCAGTCACCAGTTCACATAGTTCAAGGGGTAACTGCATAAATAACGCAAGTCGATTTACAAAATTTTACTAGTTAAACAGAAACAACATAAATACTTTCAAATGTATCAAAAAATATTCGTTCTCTTTTCTATTAAAATCCTTCTTTGGAATCTCTGATGTATTTTCCGTGTGAAGTAAATTTAGTTGCACGCAGTACTCGATTAAATAACAAGAAAGGAAGCAAACGTCGGCAAGCCGAAGTTTATATTATATTATATTCCCTTGCACTTATTACAAACGACTACATTTCGATTTCGATATTACTAAAAACAATGAAGCTATGCCAATTTTGCGCTGCAGCTGAATGATATTGTTGTCCGATTTTGACAAAACTAAAAACTGCAACTGGCTTCACATTTATTTTGTTTTGTACCTTGTCCAAAATTAAAGCATTTCTAAAAAAAAAAGAAAAAGAGATATCGAGAAATTCGGGTGCAAAGTTCAAAAAGATTAACAATGAAAAGTTTACAAAATAAAGGCATAAATGTCAACGCGATTAAGTTTATTGTAATAAAACAGAGTTTTTAAATGTGGACAGCTGTAAATGAAAAATATTGATTTTATTCAGTATCTAGGTGGTATGGGAGTGCTTTTGTAATAGTAGGGGCTTTGATTCGGGTTCAGGTTCGAACTCCATAATTTTTTCGTTAATCCAACTTTGAAATCGGGCCACATTGGTATAAACGCCCGGGAAGTCCTGAAGTCCGCAAAAGTCCTCTGCAAGAGTCCTTACCAAGCTCCACGCCTGCGCACCAGAGTTGTCGAGATTGAATTCGTTTCCGTAGTATTTACGATATATTGATTCGCACATATTGTTTTGGACTACAGGTAAATCCACCCTCTTCAAGACTTTCATGTTTTCTTTGTCGTTAGAGGTCTTCTTACCCCAGCCACTAAGATTGCAGCGCTTGTAATCAAGGCGCGTAACCTTCGCGAGCAGGCAGATTGGCTTAATGTGGTTGGTTAATGTCAGCGGAGTCCTTAGGAACAAGAGAGCAACATTATTGGCACCGTTGTTTTTGTTGAACTCAGGATGGCGAACGATCAACAAGATACTAGCGTCAACATGTCGAAATTGCTCGGAGTCTGTTCTAAAGTCCCATTCGCCAGCCCGCACAATAAGCTGGTCTTTGGTTCGGTTGTCGGTTAAGTGTTGGGCTGTGATGACCAATTCAGCAGAGAGAAGGGTGCCGCCACCCACGTAATTTCCACTTGTTTCGAGCAAGGCCATCATCCATGGGAACATGTATTCCTCGGCGATGTCATCCACGTCTTCCATTCCGAAGAGTTCAAAAGAGTTCTTTTCTGCCTTGTTTTTCTGAAATTTGCTGCCCAAAGTTAGTATTTGATGGTTGCGCCTCCGCCCAAGTGGGTAAAAATAGGAAGTGGATATTTTTTTGGCCTTGCGGTGTGGTTACTTTTGGAGGGAAAAGTCCAAAATCAGAAGACACGTAATCGTGACATGGAAGCCAGTAGTTAGTATTCTCTTTCTCACTACCGCATCAACGTCACTTACAACAAGAAAGGAAGCGAACTTCGGCAAGCCGAAGTTTATAAGCCTTTGCAGTTATTACAAATCGACTACATTTCGATTTCTATGCCTATATTACTAAAAACAATGAAGCTATGTATGTCGTTTCTATGCAGCTTTATAATATTGTTGTCTGATTTTAATTTAATTTAAACCGAAATTCCATAATACTTAAATATTACTCAAAACCCAAAAAACAAAAAAAAATTTAAAACAAAGTTCTCATTTTTTTTGAATTATTTTCCGATTGTTCCAATGGGAGCCATATGATATAGTCATATTCTCAGGATGTTCATACGGACAGACAGTCTCGGCTATTGGTCCTGATCGAGAATATATATAATTTATAGGGTAAAGCGATCTCTACTCTTCCTTCTATCTACATACTTTCCAACGAATAAAATTACCATTATTTTCTATGCGTAGCGAATATAAGAGCATAATATTTTGTTAGAAAAATATTGATTTAATTACTTTAAATACCTTAAACCCCCTCGAAACACAAGCAACCAAATTTTTTTGACAACCAATCATCACTAGATCATTAGTAAATAGACAAACAAGATCGTGTTCAAGTGGATTTCAGCTGAGGGAGGAGCCCAAAAACAAATGTTAATTTCATTTTTGGTTTAATCGACGGCGACATCCTGACGCAGCAGCAGCCGTCTAATTATCCGCACCATAAATCGACCCAATTGAGGCACTGATGACAAATATTTTGACGTGGCGCCGCGTCGACGATTTTCCTGCTTTTCCAGCTCCCTATCCCTAAATCATGGTCCGAGGTTAATGTGTGGTCGCCACTTGAGATCGATTTTAGAAGCGGTAGCCACGGGGAACTGGAAACTCGGTTTGTAATTGCAACTGAAACCGAAACCCAAAACCAGAAAACGCAAGGCATGCGATCCATTTGGAAGCGGATCACCCACATGTCACTTTACTTTCGGAATTCCTTCGCCTCACAGTTCAAAATTCTGGCAAACAAATCTTGTTGGCGAGGCTTAAAAAACATATACCAAAAGAAAGTAAAAGCATATAAAAAGTCTTGTTCAAAATTCTAAACAATTCTTATTTAGGTTGTTTTTGTATCAGGATCTAATCAAAGCAACTTTTGAATCTAACATTAATAAAATTACTTCATTTTTTTTTTTAATTGTAATTCTTTTTTGTAAGTGAAATTTTGGTAAGCCTGTGCAAAAATGTATAAAATTCAAACTATTCCGGTTTTAAAATTAAGCAAAGTTCTAATGAGCCCTCGTCTTCTGGCTGGTTCGGCAAAGAAAGGCGATTCAAAGAAGGAATCTTGTGAGGGCGACGAATCCAAGAAAAAAGAGGCGCCGAAAAAGGATAAGTGCGGAAGAAGTAGGTAACCTGAAATTACACATTAGCTTGATTATTCGTTTTGTTCTTTTCAAGCGATGCTACCCACCTCGCCACGTTGCAAAGGTAAGCCCGGCGGCAAAGATGATAAATCCGGAGATGAGTGCAAAGAAAATTGAAGGTGGTTCCTGAGTTTTTAGGCTCACTTAAATTGAACATTTGAATGGATATGTCATTTGAAATGAACAATATTAAATCCAAGCATGCTCTGAAGAAGTTAAACATGCATTCAGCAAAATAAATATTTAGTTAACCCCACATCATTCCTGAGAATAGTTCGAAAATGTCCCGACTTTTGCTGCAGTGCCGCAGCACTTTGCTGATTCTTCGCCATCAAACAGCCGTGGAAAATGAGAAGGGACTCTTCAGCAAGCTCCTGGAGAAGTGCCAGTCCTTCCGGAAGGAGGAAAAGGATGTGCCCGAGGAGGAGGAATCAAAGAGGTCATAGGTACAATATTTAACTTAAGCCAAAATAATTGAATTCGGCTAATAGGTACTGGTATTTTCCATGTTAACATCTTCATATTAAACATCTTCTTCTTAAACCTTCACAGGCTATGCCAGAAGTCGACTCTTTCCCGCACAAGATCATATAATGGCCAACAAATTACCATATTGTTGCCGAGGGCCCAACATGAATCGGGTCCATTTTACGGGCAGATCATAAAACGGAACGTGCACAGACATTATAAAGCCATAAAGCATCAACTAAAATCTGGGCAAAAATAGCTTTAGGAAAATAGGCAATGCCCAGACTTAGACAAGTGATATAACATCCATTCCATGCCTCGTTTACGATGTCTTAACCCATGGCGATTCAAAAGGCGGTGGATAGAAGAGCAAAAATACAAGATTGACCAAACGTATCAAAATTTAAAGCGGAAACAATTGCTAGATAAAAGAAACGGTTTTGAATTATGAGCATTGTTATTTGGGGGAAAACTGCACAATATCAGCTGGCAGGTGCTTAAAAGCTCCCACGTTGCAATCTTTGAACTGCGATTTTCGAATCCCAGATGCATGACAAAGATGGGGAACTAATAAATCCCTAATCCAAGGGTGGATGGGTACTAAATGGTTTGCACTCACCCCGCTTTTTCGGTTCTTCCCATTTTTATGGAGATTCAATTGCATTGCCATCGACTTTTGTTTCCTGCCGCGGACCGATTTTCCTCTTTTCCACGGGCAGGTTGCAACCGTATGGCCGTTTAAGATCTATATTTTCGGGTTTTTCCTCTGCCCGATGTAAACAAAAACATATATATGTATAACCCCATCCCATCGTCACACTTGTCGGCCCAAGTCGACCCAATAGTTGAAATACTTTTTTCCCAGCTCGATTCTTTTATTTTTATATTTTTTGTTGCCTTGGGGTGCGTTTGATCGAATGGATCGGTGTAATATATGTTCGTTCCTTTGCTGTTTTTTGGGGTAATTATTACTTTATCGCAGTGTAAACAAATCGAAGCGGCTAATTTTAGTTGAAGAGATTATTCGCTCTGCTTTTACGATTCTGCGGCCTCATTTCGTTGGCAAATCGTTGGAATGTATTCGATTAATGGGGTTAGTCGGGGTCTTGGGTATCTTTAATGTTGGTTTTGCAAAGGAAACATCATAAACATAAATCAATTTTATCACACGATTCTTCAGAGGACAATTTATATGATCGGAACATTTATTTATATTTAATGGAAAAATACTAACAGAAAATTTTCGACCTCTGGTTTTCTTTGTTATTATTGTTAAACACATTTTCTTGGAATTTTGTAAATTGCAAAACAAAATTTTAAATAAAAGTAAACTATTTCCATTGACTTTTTGAGGATAATAATTTAATCTATTCTAAATCAACTCAGCAATCAACTAATTTAAACTTTAATCCACCTATCGATGGGTGACCGACCCACTCCTCCAACTTTTTATACCCTTGCAGAGGGTATTATAATTTCAGTCAAAAGTTTGCAACGCAGTGAAGGAGACATTTCCGACCCTATAAAGTATATATATTCTTGATCAGGATCACCTCCTGAGTTGATATAGCCATGTCCGTCTGTCCGTCTGTCCGTCCGTCCGTTTCTACGCAAACTAGTCCCTCAGTTTTAAAGCAATCTGCTTTCCCAAAAGTTGTCTTTCTATTGCAGGTAGTATATAAGTCGGAACGAGCCGGATCGGGCGACTATATCATATAGCTGCCATATAACTGATTGATCGGAAGTGCCATAACTTTGGTGTTTGTAAAGTTAAGAAGTTGGGATTTTCTATGAGTTTAATTTTTGGCCAATCAATCCGACATACCAAATTTCATAAGGATCGGCCGACTATATCTTATAGCTGCCATATAACTGAACGATTGGAAATGCCATAACTTTGGTGTTTTTAAAGTTAGGAAGTTGGGATTTTTTATGAGTATTAAGAATGCATCATATGAATAATATTGGAGAATATAATTTACAGAGTATTCTGCAAGGGTATATCAACTTCGGCTTCGCCCGAAGTTAGCTTTCCTTTCTTGTTATTTTCTCAACTTGTCGGCCTCTTAAAGGCTTTGAAAAAGTGCCGAAAATCAATCGGATCATCCGACGATCGACGCCTGGAGAATCCATCAATACTCTTGAACGCTTCGTGTCTGCAGTCTGCAACTTCACTTGACTGGAAATTGAAAGGGGAGTGTTAGATGGGTGATTTTTGAGGGAAATGAGGAGTGTTCCTGCCTGTCTGTTCCACCTTTCAACGGCCTGCAAAAGATTCCATCCGAAACTACATTTTCCAGCTTCCCGAATTATCGAGGAAATTAATCTTCACAATCTTGAGTTTGCCCAGTGCCATAACACATGTGCCAAACTCTATGCATAGACACTGAGAAAAACTTTTTAGCAATATAACACATTTTTTATAAAAATGTTCCCTTATAATAAACTGTACGCCAATTCAAGTCTTATCCAAATTGTAATCGCTAAACGAACAACTTAAAAAAACTTAGTTAACTGGAGTTAAATTCTAAAATTATAAAGATGTATCTGAGTACAAAATGTTATTTCTTTTTATAATATCCAAGCCACACCTCTTTTTTTTATTCCAGCTCATTACTAAAAAATAATTGCTCCATTTTAACTGTTCATATTTAAAAGTTATTTTGTTGTGAAGGGACATTTTAATTAAAAATTAATTTATTTAATAGATTCTCACCGTTGTGGGCTCCTGATTGATACCAATTCCTATCTACATAGCAATTTTCACATCGATTGGTAAAATAATATGCATAATATTTTCTCTTTGTGCATGTTGTGTGTGGGTTAGTTAACGGTATATCTATTTCAAGGCCTTGCCCATCCTTGTAATTGCTCCTTCATCTTATTCTTCTTCTTCTAGCTGCAGTTGTTGTTTTTGGTTTTTGGTGCCTAGTCTTCTTATTCTTCTTGATGCCCATTGAAGTTTTGGATGAAATGCCGACGTTCGTCAAAATTGTTGGCATCAGCAAACAGTTTGGGATTCATGGTGCAGCAACAACAATAACAATGCGGGCAGCATGCGCCTGATCTTCAGTCTGCGAGTGCGACCGAGATGGAATGAAAAGACCACCCAAAGTGCAGCATCGCTCCACCTCCCCTCCCCCCCACACAGCCATTGAAAAAACCGCAGAAATCCATATTTCTCTAGCCTGGGCTTTTTACGATAAGTTACAGAGGGGGGTGGATAAGCGATCATTCATTCATACGGCAAAGGGATCACAATCCCGATCCCCGTTACTCCCAAACCTCACCCCCCACCCCCCTAATACACGCTCCCACCAAATGCCGCACATTTTGTGTAAACATGTGTAAATCATGACCCGTTGATGGCCCCTATTTACAGGGGCGCACGCGAGGGGGCAGCGGAGTGGGGGCCACATGTGACGTCCTCCGGCGGCAGTGAAACTTTTGCACTGCGACCCCATCTTCCTGCCTCATCTTTGCATCTTTTTGTTTAGATAAATTAGCCGCGGAAAGCCCTCCTCGGTCCACAAATTTCTTTTTATATCATCGATTTGGGAATACAGGGAACTAAAATTTACAGATTAAGAATTTTAACCAAGTTCAATATATTCCAAATGCGAATATGCTTAGATTGTAATGATTGTAGCATTTTCTATATTATTTATGTATATTGTTTAATTTAATTTTTAATTGAGAGTATTTGGCTTTTAACGGTAGTGTATTTAAATACTAAACAGAAAATAATAATTGATAATGGTTTTTCCAATTTCAAATGCTTTTGTTGAGAAGAACATTCCATAATTTATTTCTGAGTGATAAAGCAAAGAGAAACTAACGTTAGCGTTAACGGAGCTCGACTGTAGCAACACCAAATGCAACTGCAAGCATTTGGAATCCAATTGTATCAAAGTTGTATTGTCCCAAAGGCAAATATTATTTATGCCAGGGCCCTGAGAACTTTTTTCCGACGGCCTGCGTGCATATTGCGAGGAAGAGGAAGAAGATAGCAGAAAGTGGGAGGATGACGATCGCCTGCATTTCGGAGCAAAAACATATTTTCGGTAATGTTTGTTTACACTTAAAGCGCTATAATAACAAACACAAGCCGAAAGGCAAAGGGCAAGTTGGGCATAATGAAATTATGGCTGATGACTGACCAGACGAAACAAGATCATTTGGGTTGGCTTCATAATTCGAGTCATACAAACCAAAAGATATTAAAATGCTTGTAGATTAATTAAATCAGTTTCAAATTGACCGCCCACGAAGAGGGTAAACAAGACGAGTTGGCAGCTCGGCATAACTGTTGAGGACGTAACAATTACCATTTAAAAGTAGTGAAGCCATTTACCTAACCAGTGCAGCCACCCTTTTGTCTAGCAGAGTTATTCACCTAGCCCGAGCTGCCACCCTGGCACTTAGCGGAGTTCTCATCTCAATCAGAATTGCCAGACTTTCGACCACTTAGCTAATGCAACCTCCACAGTTGGCATTCCAAATTCCAATGTTTCATTTTCGACCGTAGCTATTTTGACGAACATAAAATGCACTAACGCCAGGAAAACAGTCGATCTTCAAAAATAAGCAAATGGTTACACTAAAATTGTACGATCAAAAGTGAATCATTGCGCTAAGCTAAATCGGCGGATAAGCGAAATTAAACGACAAAAGAAATAAATTCGGCTCTGCCGCTGCAGCATTAACGCTAAGAATAGGAGTGCATTTGGGTTACTTTTTTAAAAGTCCCCAAAAAACAGCGTCTGACGATCCCCTCTGAACGCGCGTGTGTGTGTGCCCGTGCGCATGTGTGCTGGTGCTGTGTTTGTGTGAAAGGAGAAGAGGAGGAAACACAAAAAAAGAGGAGAAAAAAGTGTACAGCCGACGACGCGCAGACGCATCTCGAAAATCGTCGAAAATTGCGAGTGAATAGTGCGGAAATCGCCGGAAAAGCGGAAAAGCCCTGTTGCCAAGCCTTCCGGACTAAAGCGCGATAAAGACATAAAGCGAATATGGGTTGTGCCGTGAGTACAGCACGCGATAAAGAGGCCATCGAACGGTCCAAGAACATCGATCGAGCGCTGAGGGCGGAGGGCGAACGGGCCGCCTCGGAGGTGAAACTGCTGTTGTTGGGTGCGTCTCTCCTCCCTTCTTATGTATTTACTCTTACCTTCATGCCTCACTTTTATACCGTATTCCGGTATTCCCCCTAAACTGATATTTTTTCTTTTTGAGAATCCGAAATTTGCCGATATTTGCGCTCTGACCTCATTTTTTTTTCTTTTTGCTTGGGCGGGGTAGGTTTGGTTTATTTCTTCGGCTGTGCTTAGGGCGATGAGCGTAGGATTTTTGCCGGTTTTTCCATTGGGAAATCCCTTCAAATTTATCTTTATTCAGATAATTCTTTGCAACGCTGTGGAACTACTAAAAATGTGTTTTTAAAGT